CCCCCCAAGAAAAAAACGTACCTTCCCTTACATCATATGAATTGTATGGCAGACAGTAAGGAGAATTACTAAGGAGATCTTGAGAGTTAAAGGGTTAAGAGGTCTGGGCAAGAGACCCGGCTGGGTCATTGTGTTGTGTTCTTGGATGAGACATTTCATTCCTACAGAGCTGCTCTCCACCCAGTAGTATAAATGGGTAGCAGTAAGTTGTAAGGGTAGTCCGATGAAATGCCGAGGGGTAACCTTGCAATGGACTGGTATCCCATCCAGGGGGGAGTGATGATTCCTAGTCACTCCATGCTATGGAGACTGGCATAAACTACAGTTGGGTGGGCCACTTGGCCCAAGCACAGACTTGACTATCCAAAATGATGGTGATAGTCTAAGTCGCTTCCTGCTACCAAAACTCACGTAAGCCCCAGCAGTGTGGCTCATTAGTCTCTTCTGCCTAAGGTGTACATTTTTGTCTATACAAACATTAAATTACATTGCATAAAACTTGTTGTAAAGGCCATTATGGTCTAAGACAAGGTTGTTTAGAAACACTGGCATTGCCTATCAACTGACTTGGATTTTCTCTGTTTCTGTGCAAGGTGGATGATTTACATGAAAAATACCATGAATGTTTGGAGATGCTAATGGAAAATCAGGTGAGTAACAAGGATGTTAACAGGATTTTACAACAGGGGTCCCAAACTTTTGTCCTCTTGGAATCCAGGGGATTAGCAGTTGTTGTGTTCTTGTGAATTATTAATTTTTTGATAACTGAAGGTTGTGAATGGTTAAAGCCAAATATTTTCCCTGGGTAACATGGAAAGCAGGGAGGGTTGTTTCTAATGTCTGTCTTTTTCTTCAGATTATTTTAGTGCAGTTAGTGGTACTTCCTTCCTAAATTTTTTTCCTAATTTTCTTTGCCTTGCAGCGGGAAGTGAAAAAGTTAAATACAAAGATTGAGTAAGCACCAAACCATTTTTATCTAGAAAATATTTTTATTTTTATGCTCATCTTCATCAAGAGATAACTTCTTCATAATCCTGTCCATGTAAACAAAGTCAACTTTGCAAACGTAAAGCAAAATGGATGAGTGAGGGAGAATGGTACAGAAATTTCTTGGAAAGGGAAGAAAGTTACATGTACTCATGGAATAAAAAATCGTCCTTGCAGTAACCCTTTACTCCGTAGTATCAGTATGCATGTTCTCCATACTGTTCTCTTTACATCTCTTAAGGTGCTGACAAGGAGAATTTGTTGAGAAATCAAGAGCTTTTTTAGTTGTTGATCATTTCCTTTATTCTTGTGACCTTTGTTTGTGTGATCAGGGGTGAGATTGTAAGGAGAAATTAGATGCTAGTCATTCTTAGGGATCAAGGGGTTGATAGTCCTTAATTATTTTCTTCTCTATGCGTGTTATTACTGATGGTGTTGATACAAATATTTCAGGAGTGGTAAACTGCCCAGAAAGTTGTCTTCATCACCGCAGCACTCCTACCATGTAAGTTAAAATGTGAGATGCAAGAATAAGACCCATTCCCCTCAAGTCTATGTATGCAACTCTTGTTGTGGCCACTCGAGTTAACTCTGCTGAGCAATAGTTTCTACTTTTTTTTCGTTTATTTTGTTGTTGATCGACATTTCTAATTGACTTCTTGTTTTTTATGATAGGATGCACGTGACTCCATTGCTTTGGAGATCGAGGAAAGCGTCAAAAGAGACCTTACCTCCCAACAGGAGAAACGGTTAGATTATTTACTGTGAATTAAAATGGGGGAAAATGTGTCGTTATGTTATCACCAAAAAAACGTAAAGATGGGTCTTTGTATATTTTGACTTGCTACCGTTTTCCTACTCTGTTTAAGGCGATCACGATAATTGCAGTAACTTTGAAGGTTTTTAATCTATGCTCTTTTTCTAAACGAGGCGTTTGGGTATCTCAGAAATGGTAATTTTAATGACTTGACGAAACATGTCACTGATGAAGTTTAATATTTTATTTCTTGTAGAGAGCACACTGCTCGTGTTATGGAAACTGTACGTGCTATTAACACAAAAAGAACCCGAAAAGGTCTAACCTCCAATTCGAAGGATGCCAATTCTCCTGAGGGGTCAGGCTTTAAGTTCACTTACTCCCCCGCAGTAACTGAATCGAAAGCCTCAGTGGAAGGTGCGGGAAAGACTCAAACTGGGAACCCTGTGGCGGGTGAGTACAGACTGTTTCAAATGGCGGCAGAGCTGTGATAAAACGAGTGTAACGAACCAGACAGAACTGGTTGGTAATGAGGCGGATATAAATTCGAATGATGATTTAAGAAGGGTGACATTCTTTGATATTAAGTAAATAGTCCATTGCCTTGCAGAACTCAACGAACAGAGAGGCAGTACTTGTGACAAAAATTCTTAGAAGGTTATTCACTAGGTTTTTATTTTTTCCCCACAGATCGGCGAGTATCCTACGGACGTCGCCCATTCAGAGCTCCAGAAAAACTCCAGATTGTAAAACCAATTAAGGGTTCCGTGACGCTGCATCAGTGGAAAAAATTAGCCAACCCCACCCTGAATTTGGCGGAGACTCGACCTGGGGTACACGTGAAAGGAGAGGGCCCGGATGCACAGGAAAAGGAGCCAAGAGAACGGAAGGAGTCAAGTGATTTGGACGTAGACGAGTACGAGGAAGATGAGCCCTTGTACATGAATCTTCCCCGTACCTCGGAGAGTACCTCCGAAGCTGCTAGCCAAACAGGGACAGAAGATGGCGACGAGGATGATGAACCAATCCAGATGCGAGTCTCTCACGGGCTTGAAAAAGGGACCACGTCCCAAAAGAAGGAAGAGACTATGGCTGGGAAGGGTAGCTCTAAAAAGACTTCTCCACAGCAGCTAGGGCTAATATCGCTTGTAAGCGGTCAAGGCTTCCAGGGAGGTTTCAAAGAACGTGGTGGCGACAGCGGCAGTATCTTGACGCACTTGCTAAACAGCCCCTCCTCGACATCTTCAGGGACATCCTCAGTGGGTAAGGTACTTGCTGACGTCCTCAGTAAAGCAAGTAAGGAGGCCTCTGAAAAGGAGCCAAGTAGGGCCGAGTCCCTTCGCAACTTGGCGAATTACTTTAGTGAGAAAGAGCGTGGTAATAGCACGGCGCAATCCCAAGTCAAATCACCTACCTCCCCTCCCCCAGTAGTACCTTTCACAAGCACCCTACCCTCGTCTGGAGGTGGAATGTTGTTGAGCAAGATACTCGGTACTAGTGGCTTATCAGCTGGTTTGACGATACCTGCGCCAATCACTACGACCGCTAAGACCAGTGGTCTGCCCAGCACCACGAGCAGTACATCAACCACTCCAAGTGTTCTTACCCGAAGTACTTTGGTCAGGAACTCCAGCGGTAGTAACTTATTAAACTTGGCCCAAGGTGCAATGGTAGAAGATGCCTCAAATAAGCGTCACAGTTTAGACTCGTCTCAGCTGCTTAAGAAATCAAATAATTCCGAGTCAGAGTCGTCTTCGGGACTTGATTTTTCTGAATTGAAGTTTCCCACACTGCGCAGGCGTGCCAGCAGCGGTGATCTTCAAGAGATGGGAAGTTTAAGCAGTTTTGACCAGTTTGGCAGTGGAGGACTAGGCGCACGACTGAAACGAAGCTCTAGTATCGGTAATATGAAGGACCTTAGCAACGAGAGCCTAGCAGGGTCCTCAGGAGACGCTTCTGAGGGAGGCTTTTTTAATCGTCTTCGTCGTACACCAAGTATAGGGAGCCTAACAAGTCTGGTGCAGCGATCCAATTTTTCGGTTGGTTTTTCAAATTCGCTTGCAGGATCAAAGCAACGGTCTACAAGTTTAGATGCCCTTCCGGTGTTCAAGCCCGGTGAATCGCCTCCGTCTCCTTCCAAGTTCGATCAAGATGGGGGATATTTCTTTGGCAAGAACGCGCCTTCTTCCAGTGTTGATGCAATACCCGGAGCCACCGGTGGGTTTTTCGGCGGAGGCACTAAATTGAGTAGCTTGGCTGGGGTCCGGGGATTTTGGTCCCAAGGAGGGAGTAAGAGTTTGGACAGCCCTGCCGCACCTGTTCAGGCGCCACCCCCGAAGAGCGAAGAGAGACTGGAAAAAATCAACAACGCTTTTGCGTTTGAGGACTTCGGCGGACTTGGCTTGATGTCCTTCTTCGGAGGAAAATTGCGTGGGTCAAGATCAGATAGTCAGTGACATTAAAACCGCTGGGACGTGTCAGAGACGGACAACCTCCAGCAGGGTTGGAAGCAACGCTGAGATGTTTGCTAATGGTTTTTCTGTTGATGCGGCTGTTTTAAACAGAAATTTTCAAATCAAATTAAAGTTAACGATGGCAGTGACGCCAAAGTGTAATAGTAAAATTGAAAATAATGATGAGGATGTCTTTTTTTTTATATTTTTTTACTGACTATTTAGCATTTGAATGGTAACTTTGATTCTGTTATTTTTGAATTGGCTCATTTTTATCCTCTTGTTAATCTTTATTCAACAATGAGATGGTAGTCGATTGTCGAAGCTCAAGGGTCTCGTGACATATTGCGAGAAGTGATAACGAGACAAAATTATTTATTAACCCTTTAACTCCCAGAAGTGATTAACATAAAACTTCTCCCTACAACATCCATACGTTCTTCAGCAAACAGGTAATGAGAATATTCAACGTTATCCGGTAGAAGCTGCTATCTTGATCTAACACCAAGTTCTCATAACTAATTTACAAGGAAATGTGTAGCAGCTACAGGGGAGAATTAACAATCAGATCTTGGGAGTTAAAGGGTTAAGTATGAATATTGCTCTTTGAAGCACGTCGCGATATTACCTCGTCAAAGGGAGGATGAATGAGCTTAAGTAAATAATTTTTAATTTTATCATTGGTGGAATGACCTAAATCAACTCAAGCCATTTTGTGGTGATTCTTCGAGCTAGGATCTTGCAGAGTGGTCTTATTTTTAACCGTTGTTATGGTGTTTTTCATGGTGTAAAGGTTTTTAGTGTATATTGTACAAGTAAAGGCAGCTCAAATGAGGGAAGAATTTACGAAGGATAAAAAAAATTTATTACGAGCTCACAATCAAGGGGGGTATTTATGGGTAAAAAGATATTCGTGTGGTTCAAATTTGCCCCACCTTGCATTGTGTAAGATAAATATATATATTTTTGGTTCAGAAAATAAGGTGTGGTTAGATGCAGCTATTAGTTCCTAAGCAACCTTCTGCTTTTGTTTTCAGTTGGTTAAGAATAAAATAAATGAGTTGTAAAGGTATGTTGTATCTCACCTGTTATTGCCTCCTCACCTCCAGATCATTTCAATCGGTGAAATACCAGGCTTCTGTTTCCATAGGAAGAAAGGCGGAAGGAGCCATAGTGCTCCAGCTTTTTTTTTACATCGCAGCTTATGAACATTTTATTTTCTTTTAAATCATAGGTCTCTACCAATGATCTTCTTAAATTCGAAGAAGGCGAGTGCTCATAGCACTCAGTAGCTAAACCAAGGATTCCCAAAACTCGTCCTCTTCATTTACTTTTAATGGTAAATTGACACACTCCGGGTTTTACAGTCGTGTTTCTTTAATAAGTAGAACCGTTCTACAAAACTTCTAAGTAACCTTAGTACAACGAAGGCAGCTGAACTACGCGTAAGCAGCACATGATACTCACTCGGGACACAGCAGCAAAATAAGTACGCATGCTAGTAACGCACAAGAAATTTCATTTGCGTAAAGGAATGAAAACGACAATATTTCCATAGTAACACCATCGAGGCACAACAGCGGCATTTTTTAAATTCTCATTGTTTGGTTTCATTCCGTGGGGATAAGCCTGAACCAAAACAGACAAAGTTGCCGTTTTCAAGAAAGTTTCCTTCGAACTCCTCGGTCACGTATTTCACTCAACAAAAAAATATTGCGTTAACAGCTGCAAAGTTAGTGACCGCAGTAGTACATCAGTAACATGGTTACGAAGTTAGTTGCACCTTTCATCACCTTGGCGCTTCTTGTCGTGGCCTCCTCAGAAGGCAAACTTCCTGGAGAAAAGGATTGTCGTCTCAGCGGGAAAACCTACATCAACTTTGTTTGGAGAGGAATCGCAGTAACCCCGAACGCTCAAATGGCTCGAGTAACGGAGCATGCGCACTCATTTTGCCGCTGTCCTCACTCTGTGATCGTAGTTGGTCAAGAACTCAAGATAACGTGAATCGTAAGTCACGTATCTTAACATCGTAGTTTTCAAGTAAATAAACACCAATAAAATGATTTGATTACACAATCTTTCAACACGCTATTTCTATTCATGTCAGTAGTGCTCTCTATTCCCTCTACTGAAATACCAAACTTTCCTCATTAGCATCTCTTACAAAAACACTTGGCTTGTATCTGCTAAGCCTCGATCGAAAACAAATATACTTTTTCTACGGCTTTATTCCTAAAAAACTGAAATGGAGTTGATTTATCGTGTTGGCAACGACAGCTTTTTCAAGGTCGGTGGATCACAGAGTCTGCGATAATCTGCAAAAAAAA